TTTGCATTTCTTGAGAGTTTTAGCACGTTTTTCAGCTAAAAACGCAATTATTTTGCAAAACAAGCCAAAAAAGTATGGAACTAGGCCGAAAATGATATAATATTTTCCTTTTTCAAAAATTCAAGCAGATTTTTCAGCTGAAAACTTTTTTTTGTCTTTCTCAAACACAAAATAATCGAAAAATACCAAATTGGTTAAAAATATTTCTATTTGTTTTTTACGAAATATTACTAAACAGAGTCAAAAATGACAATTTATTTATGTCTTTTTCGAATGCTTTTTTCGCTAGAAACACAATTATTTTGCAAAATTTTGTTAAAAACAAGCCACAAGTTCAACAAAATAGCCCAAAAACGGCATTTTTAGCCTTTTTCGAGTGTCTAAGCGTGTTTTTTAGAGATAAAAACACAAAAAGTTCGAAATATTGCCTTGAAACAGGCTAAAAAATAACAAAATTAAAACGAAATTGAACCAAAAATTCAATTTACTTTGCAAAATCTTTCCCAAACACACCTAAAAATCCCAAAAAAAGATTCATATTGATGTTATTTTGTTTGTTTCACTCGATTTAACTGATTTTTGAGTAAAATAAGACAAAAATAAGGTGAGAAAACACAAAATTTGGCCGAAAATGCTTTAAGCGCGTTTTTGTACCAAAATCTCAGGTTTTTCACTAAATTTCGCAAAAACAAACTAAAAAATCAAGAAATTTTAGCACGTTTTTCAACTAGAAACGCAATTATTTCGCAAAATTTTGTTGAAAAATCACAGAATTAACCCGAAATACATGTTATTTTTGGTTTTTTCAAGAGTTTTTTTTTTGCGAAATTTTCAACTCGGATCTGGCAACACTGTCCCATTATCGTACCAATTCAACGTTACTATGGTTATTAGTTTAGTTACCATAGCACACTTTTTCAGCCCGGGAAAGTATGTTTATGAAAATGAACAAAGGGCACGCTTTAGTGGGTGTAAACGACGTTCTTGAGTTGACAAGGGCCCAAACTGAGCTCACTCTCAACCATACCGAAATGGGCAAATTGTTAAAATCTGGGACGAAATTCGACGTTATTATAATTGATTGGTTCATGAACGGTGCAATTCTGTTATATGGGACGCTGTTCAACGCGCCTATTATTCCCATAGCCTCGCATGGTACCACCCATTTGGCCAACTCCATCGTGGGGAACCCATCACCGCCATCTTACATCCCCAACACCATGTTACCATTCCCGTCCAACATGACGTTTTTCCAGCGAATGGTCAATGGACTCGTCACGATCGCTTACAACGTGATGGGTCATAGTAATGCGCAGTACCATCAAGCCTTATTGGAGAAATATTTCAAAAATGTGCCAAGTCTCGATGAATTGAAAAATAACGTAGCTTTAGTTCTGTCAAATGGGCATTATAGTTTCGAGTCGGCGAGGCCTTTTGTGCCTAATATAATCCCAGTTGGCGGGTTTCACGTCCAAAAAGCACAAAAATTGCCCCAAGACCTCCAAGAGTACATGGATGAGGCCAAACATGGAGTTGTTTATTTCAGTTTAGGGTCAAACATGAAAAGTGTTCTACTCCCCAAAGAAAAACAACAAGAAATTCTTAAAGCTTTTGCGAAAATCCCACACAAAGTATTGTGGAAATGGGAGGATGACAAGTTGGAAAACAAACCCGACAATGTCATGATTCGAAAATGGTTCCCCCAAAATGACATTCTAGGTAATAACACGCCGCCACTGGCTTCAATACGATTTGTAACCATAGCAACTGACATGTATCACTATAGTAACACTTCATTGCCATGGCAATTACACAAAAAGACATAGTCGTCCCTTTGTTTTAGGGCACCCAAATTTAAAATTGTTCATCACCCATGGTGGTCTTTTGAGCACGATTGAGGCGTTACACCATGGAGTTCCAGTTCTCGGGATACCAATTTTTGGTGACCAGAAAGCAAATATCCCCAATGCCGTTTCCTCCGGTTATGCAATTCAATTAGAGTTGGCCGATTTGGACGAAACCACTTTAGGCAAAGCATTGGATGAGATTTTAAACAATGGGAAATACCACGAAAATGCGAAAAAACGCTCACAACTCCTCCATGATCGACCCATGTCGCCCATGGACACGGCCGTTTTCTGGGTGGAGCACGTGATTCGCCACAAGGGAGCCCCACATTTACGCAATTTGGGCAATTATCTCCCATGGTACCAGTATTTGATGCTAGATGTGGCGCTATTTTTGGTGACAATTGTCACAATTGTTGGGTTTGTATTTACGAAAATTTGTTGTTTTATTTGTCGTAAGAAAAAAGAGAAAAAGGAGTAAATAAAAATTGATACGAGTTTGGTGTTTTCATTGATAAATTTGTGAGAGGGGTGGTTGAAACGGCGGGCGTCGCGACGCATGTCTGGGTGTGATCTTGGCTGTACCAAACAGTGTTTCATCAGTGCTCAATATGTTTACATTGTGCATGTCTCGGGGGCATCCTCCCTTACAAAACACACGACTGGAAAACAGTAAGTAAATGGAAAAAAAACGAAGTCAAAATTAACAAAAAAAAAATGAGAGAAATTAAAAATTATCATTTTTAATAAGTCACACTTTTTGTATAATTTTCCGTTAAAAAAATGCATATTTAGGTCGCCAGGTTGCCAACTTCAATTGCGCAAATGCAGGATCAAAGGTTATTTACCTTTTCAATTGACACACTTTTAATTTTTTCTTTGAAAATCAATCAAATAGTTCACTTTATCTTTTATAGATGTTGCCAACAAACAAGTAAAAGGCGGATACCTCCTTCGATATAAACGTAAGTATTATCTTATCACTTTCAAGTGTGCTGTATAGCAGGGGCGGATCCAGGAATTAATTTTGGGGGGGCTATCTAATTTTTTTTTAAATGATGAGGGTATACAGTAAGCGGCAAAATTATATAATAATCTTATTTATTAAAACTGAAAATATTTTGTTTTGGAAAAATGCTCGAACAGGTCAATTTTCTTTTTAAAAAATACAAAATTTTTAGCTTGATTTAAAATTCCATCTTTGTTTTTTATTGATATTATTTCACTTTTTGGATATTTTTTTAAACTACCAGGTGAATAAAAAGTATGGAACCAAACGTTTTTTGCTTAAACTATTTATTTTTTGAAAAACTAATTGATGAGTGCTAAAGTACTATAAAAATGTGATGATTTAACAAGAATAAAATTTTTCGAAATTTCCTTTTATTTTTGAGTTCTACAAAAAAATTATTTCTTTTAAATGGCAACCCACTATAAAATCATTTTTCTCATAAAAGCTATACTTTAAGGATTACAACTATCTGCTTTATTTTTAATTTTTTCAAACAAATTTTTTCAAATAAATTGCAATTTTGACAAAAAAAAATCGCATAACTCAAAAACTAAACAAAATTTCGTTCTGAAATTACGTTCACATTTTTTATATTACTTTAATTTATATTAATTATTATTTTCCGGAGGCAAATGATTAAAAATAAAACCGCTTGGTTCCATACTTTATATTCACCCTGTATGTAATAAATAATATTTTGGTGTTGCCATTTCGACAATTATCTATCGAATTCGCTAAAAAAATGGGAGTTTCCATTAAAAAAAAATGTCGCTGCCGTCATTACCCAAAAACCAAAAAGTGTAGAATTTCAAAACAAGTTGAAAATTGTGTATAAGGTGTTCTAGCGAGTTGGTAAAGTTCATTATTCAAAGAGATATAAACTTAATTTAATTCGATACCTAAGATGTGGCCCAAAGAAAATTACAATTGATGTCTTTTTAAATTAGTAAAAACTAAAAAAGTATCGAGAGATCAAGATAATTTGTCCTTGTATCCGAAAAGTCTGTGAAACGTCAAAAAAAATGACAAGTGGAATGGTAAAATTCCATGAACAAAAAGATAACTAAATTTATGATTTATCTTCAAAAAAGAATGGTCTTATTATTTTACTTCGGCGACTAATTCCAGCCCATTTTGTCGTTTTCGGTTCAAAAACTACATTTTACTGTCATCATGACTGACATTTGACAATTATATTTATTTTTATTTGTTGTTAAATTTGTTAATTAAACAATTTATCTGTCTTAGGAAATTTATTAAGATCTGCTGCCTACCCGTTATTACGCCACAAATCACTATTTTTGAAAGTAAATAAGTCAAAATGACATAAATATGACAAGAGTAAAAAATGAGGTTATTAATATAAAAGTTGTTCTAATGTTTTTATTTAAAATCTTTAGGACATAAGGTTTTTATATTAAAATTTAAATATAAAAAATTGAAGCTTTTAGTGGCAAGTTTGGGGGGGGGGGCTGGCCCCCTGGATCCGCCCTTGCTGTATAGACACTTGAATTTGAAAGAGAGTGTTGCTAAGCAACCAAGATTGGAAAAATTCTTATTACTAAGCAACTAAACTAACAAACACACTTTTTAAATCGTTGCCCTAGCAACTTTATTAAACTGTCAAATAATATTAATTTTCACCTAGCAACTGAAAGCTTTTAGTGGCGCCTCCCCAAACCATCAAAGTTTGTGTGTTCTAAAAATGTCAATTTTTTAGGAGGGTTATTTTGTAATAGTTGGTGTGAGGAATGGTTCGTTTTGTATGAGGATTCGACGTTGGCGTGGTTTAAAGACAAAGGATTGGGTCGGGCCAAAGGCCACTTGCGTATCAGTGAATGTCCAGATTTGTTAGCTGTGGGCGAATGGACGCGTCAAGTGCCCAAAAGGCCCCCATTTCCGCGCAATTACCATGTGGGACAGCTCCTCGCTGTTGGTACAAGAATGTCCCATGATGTGCATTGGCTCATGGCACAATCCGCAGCCGAAGTCAAGTAAGCGTGTAAACAAAAATTCCAAAATTTTCAATTGTTTTTCAGTGACTGGATGACTGCGATCAGCAACACGGTGAGTACAAATAGTACAAAAAACACAACTAAATCGCCATTTTTAGTTACCACCACCACCAAACTTACCACCAATCAAAAAACAACGTTTCACGTTCCAAAAAAGTACAGTTTTTCCCCCAAAAAACCCCAAAAATTAACTTGACTTTTTCAGCAAACAATTGCTACAAATGCAACTCGCTGAAAAACGAAGCTGATTACGCCATGATTTCGGGGGTTGCTATCGATTGGGGCCATGGGTGGGGCTGGGGTGCACACACCGCCTGTGTGTCCGAAACTGCAACTGCTCTCGAAGCTGCTGTCAATTCGGCCATTCATTGTCACGCATTGGGCGATTTCGGTGTTAGTGGAATGGACGAAGTTGATTGTAGTGCATTTGGGGACTTTATTTTTTAAAAACTAAAAAAAAAACGTAACAATTCTAAACTAGGGTGGCAAATCGCTCAATATTTTATAGAAAACTGACAAGCTACGAATTGGATGTTGCTAAGTAACGAACATTAACAAACTGTGTGTGTTGTTCGTTACCAAGAAACCACAACTATTAATTAGTCGTGTTACTTAGCAACACCAATTTGGAACAAATACTATATACATTTTCATTTCCGTCCATAGAAATTTATAATTTGCAAATTAAACTAAATGGATTATCCCAACAAAGCTATTTCTAAAGATGCAACTGTCATTCCTTCACATAAGCAATAAAATTCTCTTTAGAGACATTCTAAATCTCGTTTCCATTAAATGTAATGATAAACTGTCATATCCATTTATTAATACTTCTCCTATTGAATGTATGTATTGTATAATTTATACAAAAAAACAACTCCATGATTAAAGGTGCTCTAAACCGTAAGATTTGCTTATAGTTGTTGTTATTGTAAATGTTTTGTAGATAAATGTAAGAATATTTTTGTTAGGTTAGAACTCGAAAATTAGACTGATGTGGTAACAAAAGAATATTTCTACATGTAAAAATGTAATCAAGTGAGTAGTTGTCAAGTGTCGTAGTCAAGGGGGCTCTGAAAATTTTATGACACATGTCACTTATCTGTCAAATTTATAATTTTTTTGACATTTTATTAAACGTAACATGGAATTTTCACAGCACTCTTATTCAAACAGAAATATAGTTACTATACAGAATGAATATAAAGTATGGCACCAAGCGGTTTTTAATTTGTCTTCAGAAAATAATAATTAATATATTTTGAGAACGAAATTTTGTCTTGTTTTTGAGTTATGCCATTTTTTTTAGTCAAAATTGCAATTTATGAAAAAATTAAATATGAAGTAGATAGTTGTAATTCTTAGATCATAACCTTTATAAGAAAAATAGTTTTATAGTGGGTTGCTATTTAAAAAAACTTT